AGGAGAATGTGAAAATCCTTCGAAAAGCGTAATTGGAGCTTGAAGAGAATTTGTGGGAGCGTGGTATTTCGACGAAACGTTAATCAATAGGCATGTGAATATAGACCAGATCTACAATCCACTTAAAAAGAAAATAGTCGTCCATCAACTTTGTGCAGTGTGACGAAAGAAATTACTAGTACAGCACAATGAGATGGTGAAAACAGAACAGTTTTACTTCAATAAAGATCCTATATCAGCGTGACTGAATGCAATGCAAGTTCAAATAGGTCAAGACGTGATAAATATTTCCTTCCTAAATTGCGATTGGACAAAACTCAAGATCAGTGAGAATACTACCTAAGTATGTTCAGCATTTGAATATGTTTCACTTCTTTGTGATTTTAGTACTGAGGGTGTCACCAGGTGTGGTAATGTAATGTCCACGAAAACATATCGAAGCTCAGAGAATACCAAACCGCCATCAGGTTATGCATTGAAGGGTGGTGGAAGAGTAACGGATTTCTTGTTCTCTAGTCTTGAGTGCTGAGCGAGTTCTTTTGTAGTGGGAGTCTAACCTTCATGACACACTTTGATAGTTTTTAGTTGGTTAAGGCGATTGGTATTACGCCTTAAAGTTAGGTTTCGCGCTTGTTAGCACTCGCTAACAATTAGGATACCTAGGTTCAAGCCTTCCTGCCTATTAGGTTTCAGTAACTAACATTGATCAAAAGTGAAGTCAGTTTATGCAAACTGGGTGGATTAAGGGATCTTATGTAAGAATGGCAGTCTTTTGGGAGGAAACTAAAATAATTTGAAGTTTGACATCAATTTAACCTGGTAGCCATGGTCATGACAGAGGGTACACAAATTTCTCCTCGATGCAATTATTTGGTTTGTACAGTTGTGTAGAAATAGCTTCTGCTGTGTGTTTTAGATGGAAAAGGAAACTATTTGGAAGATTGTACGGTATACAATAGCTAATTTTACAAGTCTTGTTCGTATTCACTTGTTGACCTGTATCTACTATATGTGCAAGCACTAAACTTCGTACTGTTTTTGTCTGTACCCTACTGAACCACGACAGATAGTGTTTGAATATTCCGTGATAGACTTAAACTGATGAACAAGCAAGATCAGGAAATCTGTCCTTACATCATGCACCTAGGATTGCCTGACTTTAGAAGATAAGATATAGCTTTGGAGCACTGAAAAGCCATTCTCAGTTACTGAGTTGGGGTCTCGTTGATCATCTCATTGCTGAATTTCTTGAAGTTTCAAGGAGACAGATTTCTTGGAAACTGTTAATACTCTTGGCTTAACTTTCGTCTCATTCTTTTCATTTCACTTTACATCTAGAAATGATTCTCATCTTGGAAGTAATTTTCCTCATACATTCAAGTCAGTTGGAGAATCATTGAAAACTTCAGAGTAATGGACAGCTGTCTCATCCTGTTTTGGGATTTCTCAGCAATGAGCACTGACTACCCTATGAGGGATCCAGTTTCTAACTCATGATGAACGCAGCTGAGCTGGAACTTAGTTGTCCACCAGTTTCATCTTCCTTAAATTCACGACATATTTTGACGATCATCGAATGTTGTTGATTGACAGGTCATTAGGATTGCACAAGAAGTGACTATCGTGGCTCTATGGTCTAGTGGATAACGCGTTTGGAGGAATCGGTTCCCAGTTCGAGTACCAGTGAGAACAACACCGCTCGCTGGGAGGCAGGTACATCCAGCTGACGAGCCCCAAAGAGGACGAAATGCGTGTGATAGATTCCACTGCTAGCCACTATCTATGATTAATATATTTAATTCAAACACAGGAGTCCATATGCCGGTCTAGAACGATCAGTTCGGTCCCATTCAACGATGGGACAATTCAGGCGACAATATTATTCATCAATATCCCTTTTAAGCAGACAACTTTCCAATCACCTTACCAACATGTTTTACTCAACTTGTCTTTGTTAGATAACGGTATATCAATGGATTCCCTTTGTTTCTGTCTCCCTCTACCTCCTTCCCTTCTTCTCAATCAGTCAGTTTTTCCAATGTGAACCTGATTCAAGCATGTAAATATTCATTTTATGTTTGTGATGTTAAAATTCGTTAAGGTCGCAAGAAACTTGATGTTGACTAGTGAAATACTTATTCCTGTTCCACTTGAGTATACAATGTTGGTGTGTTGGTGTGTTATAACACTTGACAAGCCATGCCTTATGATTTATGATTGTTGCATGCATTGGGGGTAAGAAGGAGTACAAATTCAGTCATTGATCTTTTTGCCATGTTTTTATAATATGCTAATGTTGTTCTTCGAATCAATAACATGTTTTCCACTCCATATGAGGGGTTTTAAATATTCTTGTTACTCTTTTCCCTTTATTTTGTTTTCTTAGTTCACTCGACAACCTTCTACTCATTCCTACAGTAGAGACATTTATTGTATGCAGGCCTATGATACTACCACCTGGGTATCCAAACCACGGGAGTCTGAGTATCTGGATTCGAAACCATGACCCAGTAGTTGAAAGTTATCTCCCTAAACAAATGGACCATAGCTCCGATTTTTCTGTTTGTAGTTTAGTCTTTAGCTTATCTACCTACAATTTGTAATCAGTCTGAATTTAAATAATTCCGAAATTTGGAGCGCCTCATTACGAAGGTGGTCAGTATGGGGTATTTAATATATCACATTACTTTTCTCACTACTTTGTTAATCGGATCACTTCTGATGAGATTTAGTTAAAATCTTCTTGTTGAAGTTGTTGGAAATGGGTGTGGCTAGATGATCTGGTATTATTGATACAGGGGGAGGATTGATACGATTCAATCCAGCGGTGCTTCAATTGTCGACCCGACATTCAACTCAGAGCTGCGAGACCCGGCTGTTGGCCAGGTTTTGACTTAAAGAACCACGAAATTTTCTCGGCTGTCACATGATGACGTAATGAGTAACCGTCTTTTCACCACAATCACACTACCTCTGGGCCAGAACTTCTCATCCCAGTCCAAAATGAGCTGGGTTTGACAGGGAGAGAATCGAATTGATTGTTCATGGGACTATCCCAGATGACTATGGTTAAGCAGACTGGTATTGTTGACATGGGATGGTGATTGAACGTGAAAGAAAAGCCTGGGTTACGGCTAGATTCGAACCGTCAAGTTCTGGAATACCAGTTTTGGTAGTTCACTTGGTGAAATGACCTGGAAGCAATTCAGTGGTCATTGCTTCTAATGCCTTCTCTGGCGTAGGTTTGCATTTTACCTACAGTCATCTCTTATCAGTACTTAAAAGGCCAACTTTTCCAACACGTTCCTCATCAAGACACTACACTATTTCTAAGATTATCTGCTTCTGTTGGTACTCATTGATAATTACGTGGAGAAATGTTGAATGGACGGATGGATGGGGAATTAAATCTCAAGGATGCACCAAATAAAATTGGCTACTGATAGACGAGCGTTTCGTATAGGAAATTCAGTTCTACAGAGACTAGTTGCAGATTCCGCTGTCAATTGATAATGTTACCTAAAATACCTAAAAGTATTGGCTTGAACATCAGAGGCATTATTAAATTCTCCATCATTAGATGCATGTCTTTCTGACGACAATCTTGGTTAACTGTGGTTTTATAGACTGGCTTTAGTGTGATGTGATGGTTCTCATAGTTGTATTTATGCCTATTTGACCGAAGAACTCAAATCTGTGACCTTGAAGATATCTATCCAGCTGTCATCAAACTGAGCCAGAAGATTAAGTAGGTGGTCAGGTTTTACCTTCGATTCTGTCACGCAGCGCAGTTTTTCATTAATTTTCATGTGAATGAGTGACTTGACTGTCTCTTCTCCTTGGTCATGATTACACGGAACCACTGGTTCGAATCCCACCCTGAATCAGATTAAGTTTCATTTCCAACTTCAGTCATTATTGAATTAAATAAACATATAACGAGCATTCTGGTAGAGGCTATATGCTGTATACCGCTAACTAACTTTATTCTATGATTTATTTGCTAGTACCTAGCTGTGGAATACACGACGCGTCCTCTCCTATTTAGGACTCGTCAGCCGGATGCACCTGCCTCCCAGTAGTTGAGGATGATCTCACCGGGAATCGAACCCATCGCAGACGTCAGATCGTTATTCACAAAGCAGGTAACTGAGGCACGAGCTCCATCTATCGTACAATGGGTGTCAGTTACTACTTAATGATGTCCGTAGTTCCTGGTTGTTATTCTGAGAGAAATTAAATGTATTCACTTAGGTCTTTTATCGTTCAAGGTTAAGTATTTATTTGTAGGTTAATTAAAGTCTTGATCATTATCTGAAGTCACGAAAAAATACTGAAAATCAGTGAATTTACGGGTGATTATTTAATCTCATTCAACATTACCTCATAGCTATAAACCAATAGTCTTTCTCCAGACTGAACCCAAACTCTTCAGTTGACTGTCTATAAAGTTGAGCTACTGAATTGTACGTCAGTGTATGAAGTACAATCCTAACACTTACCACGTAATCCTTTAGCGCAATCAATACAATTACAATCACAGAGTGGTTAGTATCTCATGAGAACCAGAAAATAAAGCGTGTAACTATATAATGTAGTCGTCTACTAGGTGGTTAGTAGTGGTACACATGTTTTATCCTTTTTAGGACGCGTCAGTTGAATGCATCTACATCCCGATGAGTGACGTTGTTCCTACTGAGTCTCGAACCTATAACCCATAGCTTCAAACACCAAAGGGGGTAGGGGTGTGGAGTGGAAACGTTTCCAAATTGACTAACTGTAAGTCACTAGTTCAATGATGAATTCATTTTCACATAGTATTTGAAAGTGTTCAGTTTAATACGGTGGTAAATGATATGTACGTACTGTTAAATTCCACAGCAGGGTAAAAATAGCTGTTCACCAGTGTATAATTCAAATCGTCTTCTGATTTAGTGGAAACCATCTAAATAGTCCCATTAGATAATAAACGATTAACAAAAGGTAAATCAGCAAAAAAGATTTTCTTTTCGACGAATCATTTTCACAGGCTGTGCAATCATAACTATGGTTACAATAAAATATAGACTCATCAATAGCTAAAGGGTCAATGTAAAACCATCGAAAACGGTCAGTAAAGTCACAAGGTGACAGTGATTAGCCCATCAACCCAAGGTCATCAGAAAATTACCTATAGGATTATAATAAATAAACAAATTATACATATCATGGATTGACATCAGTTAGAGAATCAATGAATTAAGGTAAGTATAAGATAACTGTTTTATCCTAGTCTGTGACTCCTCAGCAGCTTTGTAAAGTCTATTTAACCAGCTCTACAAGCGCAGATGAATTGGTAAACGCATATGAAAATATATACAAATAATATAGGACAAATGATGAAATTCAGTGAATTTACTGAATGCGTCTACTAATTGTGTAGAACTAGTCGGTCACTTATCATTTAACAGAAAACTGCAAACATTTCAACCTCACTAGAAAAAACTGACAAACAGCGATTGTAAACAAGAAGTAAAGTTGACATAACATAAAAATAAGGTGCAAGTGTTTATTTGAGATAAACACCTTTTGATATGAATTTAAACAAATATTTGAATCACTTCCCATACTACAAATATCAACAGTGGTCTTACCAAACACAGAGATAAACACTAGGCAGGAGAACTGAATTTACAGTAATAAATTTCATAATTTAATAATTCAAAAGAGAGTACACTTTTTCACATTGTAACTAGATACAAACATAAACATATCACTTTTTTCATCATTGCCTAGTTGGGTATCCAGTAATACTTCCCTGTAACACGCAAAGTTTCCAACTAATTGATGATGATAACAATGAATTCAGGAAAACTCTCATAGTCTAAACTTATAATGTATACCCTATCTTTCTATACATTCAATATTCAATGTCACTGCTTGCGGGTTGCCTCCACCAGGATCAAAGTACTGGTAGGATAATTATAGGCGATTTTAGTATTGATAAATTTTAAGTTCTCTAGTAGATGAACAAGGTTTTTTCACAGTTAAAAGACTAGTACAGTTTGGGATCATTGTGTATCTCCTGTTTGACTTGAATTACAGTAATGATGATCAAGGAAATTAGATTATACCTCTGAGTCAAAGAATATAGCTGAGGTAATGGCTTCTTTTTGTAATTGACATTATTTGGTAAGAAAGCAGGATAGTGTTGTTTAGCTTGGTCAAGTTCTTGGGCGTGGCTAGTTTTACGAGTAGTGTTGCCTACCCTTGTAGTATTCTAGTGAAGTGTGGTGGGATTCCATCCGGAGAACCGGAAATTTTCAACAGTGGGTGTACAACATTTTGTGGGATTTATTCACTGTGAGTACAAGTGCTTACTCTTCCCTCTGTCTCTCTGTCTCTCTCTGAGAGTGCTCCCACTGCACAGCTATGAGTGTTCTGGGATGCAGCAGTCTATCTGAACTACCGAGAAATTCATCAGTGATAAGCAAGCCTACTTCATTGTAGGAAGCATACACAGCAATGAAGATGGGGCTTGATGTTGAAGTAAGTTGGTAAAGAAATCAGCACTAAATAGTGGCTTAATTTTTGTCGAAGGTTCACTTATAATCAATAGATCAGACATACTTGACTTCTTTGTCGAACACTTAGTTGACAGGTGGGTGGACATCATGGAATAAAAGTAGAAACCACTATGATGCTTAATCAGTCCAAAGAATGTTAGATAGAGGCGATGATGCACTTCATTATCAATTCTATCATGCAACTCTGGTGTAGACCGTCTCTCTACGTGGATTTCATCGATGTAAGCTGCTGCTCAAACGATACCCTAAACCACAGCATCCAAAATCTGTTATAATATGACAGGGGAAGTCTTAACTTAAAAAGGCAATAGGTTGAGTCGATAGCCACCATAATAAGTGTTTAGTGTCAGGAGTCCTCAGCACTATGGAACGACTTCAGTTTGGAGGTGTTCGTCTACTAAGTCCAACTTGGTGAAGCATCTACCGCGATTGAGTATGGTGGTGGTGGTGGTGTTCAGTTATGCATTTATACAGTTTTGTAGGACGGTATTTGTTCCGTTTAACAATCAGTATCCTCGATATCTGTGTCCTCATTCACTTCTTGTCACGGAGAATTAGTTGTTCTCTTTTCTAGTAACTAAAAGTTAACAATATCCCTTAATTTATTTTGATTTTTAATAAAAGTGGCAAATTTTTTAAATCAGTCATGATGATAACCCGTGATAGATGAACAATATTGGGAATAAGTGTAATGACAAACCTTAAAGTTGTAATGACCAATCTGAACAATCAAGGGGATCCTTCATATAAGATTGGTCACTTCGATATAGCACACAGTGACACATTATCAATCATATCAAGGTATGATTGGAAGCAATAAAATTGTACTCGAAACCTCATCCAGTAAATAACAGTCTATCACTGTGTACTATTGTAAATAGACTAATCTTATATATGAAGCTAAATTCTGCATACCCTACCCAACTACTTTACTCACACTGATGGTGTAACTTTGTAAAGGAGTAGTAAATTGATTACAATCGGTATATTGCGTATGTATTTTCAGTGACTGAGGGAAAATTGATCATTTACATAGTTCTGGTGAGAAGAAAATAATTAGTTAGGACCTAGTTGTGAAATTCTACCACGGTTTCTTTTGGAAACCAAGATATTCAGACTAGAAAGTGGGAAGTAACTGCAACCAAAAACAGTGTCGTTTGTCACCTGAATTAAATATACTACTCATTATTGTATGAGTAGTTGTAGATCATTGAGAGAAAAACACGTGTAGTAACTAGAAGTAGGACTGCGTAAGATATGAATCAAGTTAACTTCAGTTTAAGCCACATCTGGGAAGGTTATAAAAGTAACAATAACATCCCTACCAATAAATTTAACAAAATCTTTGTTCTGTACAAAGAACTTTCTCCAGTTTAGATTTGTGAACCACACAGATAGATCATATAAAACATGAGCGACAATTTCAGTGTTAACTAAGAAATAAGATTAAAAAAATGTCTCAGGTGGGACATCAGTTCCGTCAAAGTTGCTGATACGCCTCGGTGACGAGTGGCAAACTCTAGAAATAAACAATCCGTTTGAAGAACCAATGAGGAGCGATAAATAGTTGGTATTGTTATTATATTATTTTATTATTGTCCCTTGGGTTCTTAGTGGAACATAAGGCTTAAGTAGCACGTCACCATTTCATTCACTTCTCTCCAGTCTTTTCAACCTGGCTTCACCATAGCCAAGAAGATTTTATTTCCTCCTCACACGATCTCGATCTCCTCCATGTCATCCTAGGACGATCAACTCGTGGTTTCCCATTTCCGTTCCACTTGAGCACCTGACCTAACGCTTGATGTCCCCAAACCGTCTTCTCGGTGCATGTCCAATCCAGTCCATCTCCACTTTCTTCCGCATATTTGTAAGGCGATGGGTTCTTGGTTGATTCGTTGTCAGCTAGCTAGACGTTTTTGTTGCTTATTCTTGTTATTCTGGTCATCCGATCTTCAGTATCGAATGGGTGTGAAGGTAGCTGTTGATGAATGTCTGTAGTTTGTTGGAAATGCTTTTCGTGACCCGCCAAGTCTCTCAACCATCACATAGAAGCACTGACTTGACTGACATTGATGTTGAAAATCCGGATCTGTTCATGCTTCATGCTGAGTGCAGTGCAGTACAGTGGATCTTCACATTGATTTTGGGTCAATGAAGACCTGTATTGCTTTTCCAATCTTGGCTTTGAAGTTCTCAAAAAGTTGGCATTAAAAAAATGCAATTCGTTGACCAAAAGATTAGGCTTATGTGGTCATACTGTTAACTGAGAAACCGAATAAGTCTTTGATCACATCGTAGACCAGTTATACAGAGAAATATATATAAGAGAATGGTATTGTTTGCATGATCACGGTATTTGTATTTCGAAGAGAATAAGTAAACAAAGCAAACTTGTTTTTACTGACATTCAGCTACTTATTGCTGGCAGCTTTATTGAAGTAACACTAAACCAGAACTTACAATATTCAAGGTTACATATTTGAAACCTCTATCAAAGTTCTTCTGTATGGATGTTTCTATATCGCTGATCGGTTAAAACCTGTATTCAGCCATGATCGGGGGGTGCTCGAAAATTCGATGATAAACTTGCTTCATTGTACGCCCAATACAACTGGCTCCCCAGGAGTATTTAAACTGGCAAATGCACGTGGGACTGGCAGAATTAGGCAGTTTGTCTTGGTTCCTTGCACCTAGAAGTCAGTGGTTTTAGAAGATAGGATATGCTCCAGTAGCTAGAAATGCTTTTTCTATGGCTTTTTATGTGTGATGATCTCACTAAGAATGTAATCCTTGAATTCCAGTTTCATAAAAATTTGCATCTTAGAAACTACTGACATTCTTGACTCAACTTTTGTAACATTGATATGCTTAGTTACAAACTTTGCTAGGTAGCTATTCCAACTAAGAAGGTCACGGATGGTACTTGGATTACGTATTCGTCTACTTCACATATAAGAGACGAATATAATCTACCTTTACAAACCTAACCTTTGTATTCTACCAGGCCGCGGGTGTATTACCCAATATTCACACTATATCAGGTCCTGGCACATAGACACGCTTACCGATGCCCGAGAATAGCTGTATTTCTCCACCTGAAGGCGGCATTCAACTCCGTTGATCGAGAAGTCTCATGGTAATGTCTCTCATTGAAAGGCGTGCCGGGTAAGTACATCACCTTATTGAAGGCTCTCTACTTGAACACTTATGGGCGTGTCAGAGCCTATAATGTCCAGCGAGCTATGCTCTTCGAGTGCTGTCCGTCAAGGGTGCTCACTATCTCCATTCTTATTCAATTTTATCATAAATATCCTAATGAAGGTCTCCCTCTCGTCACCTAATTACAGACATTGACCTAATCGCAGGAGAATTTTCATTAGACTTAGAATATGCAGATGACATAGTCTTGTTAGGTGAAGATGCTGACAACATGCAGAATCTTCTGAACACTTTGAGTAACAATTTGAGAATGCTTGGGATGAGCTTCTCACCACCCAAATGTAAATTGTTATTCCACGACTGGTCTTCGACGGTGCTTCGGTTAACAATAGAGAGTGTAGTAGTTGAGTGAGTTGACCACTTCACTTACTTGGGAAGTGGG